GCCCTGTCATTTCTCCTGTGCAAAGTGGCAGTCATTTCTCCATCATGAGGAAACTGAGGTGTGAGAGGCCGGACCTGGGACTTCCTGGATGTAAAGCCTGCCGCTGTCCTTCCCTTGAGCTGTCAGATTAAAACATTAAAACAAGGGCTCTGGGAGTTTTAAGCAGAACTCCAAAAAGTATTGTTTAAACATAATTTGCTCTCTTGATTCATTATAGCAATTTTTTTTAAAGTGTGTGTGTGAGTGGGAAATACATACCTGTTAGGCTTTAGGAGGGTTAACAAGGAATGTATTGCATTAATCTTTCGGTTTTTATTAATTCACATGGCTTTTAAAAAGTCCATAGGATGGATTAGCACATAAAAACTAGAAGAATTATTCATTGCATTAATAAAGTAACTTTATTTCCCCTAATATTGCTTTTGAAATGTAACATAATTAAACCAGAGGTAGCGACACCCCCTCCTAGCTGCACAACCTGTTGCAGGTAATGACATTGTTTGGAACTCTTTAATTCTAGGCCTTGGTTTTGAAAGAGGTCATGAAGGCAGCAGCTGCCTGGATAGCTCAGAGGTTTGGGTCTCTGGCTGCAGAGCCAGAGGTTGGTTGAGAAGTTCGATTCCCCACTTTGCCTCCTGGGAGAAGAGCCAGCCTGGGTGGCCTTGGGCCAGCTGCACAGGAGTCCCAGGGATAACCCCCTGAAGAAATGAATGTAAACCACCTCTGAGTCCTTTCTATCTGGGAAACCTTGTAAAGCCTGAACTGACTTGATTGCACATTAAAAAAAATGGAGGCAGCATGAAAAATTGACAACATGAGTACAAAGACAGGAAGTTATGCACAAAAAGATACAGGAAAGTAAGATGGGTGTTATTGTTTGAGTGGGCAGGAGATCATCCTTTGATGGAGGGTGTTGGAGCATAGGAAGGGATCACCTGAAATGGAAATGTGATGGTTAATTTGGGAGGGGCTCACCTTCCAAGCAAATTGTCAGAACGCAAAGCAGAACTATTTTTTGATCAAGATGCATATGCAATGCAAATTTATGAATGTTTACATGGGAATAACACTGAGGTTTCAAGTGACTTCCTCTCTAGTCCCTGTATTTAGGATTGTAGCTTTAAAAGTGCTTGAAATGGGTTAGGGTCCTCCAGAGTTGGTTGGATTACGACTCCCATCAGTCCCAGCCAGCCTTGTCAATGGCAAAAGACAGTGGGAACTGTAGTCTGGGATCATCTGGAGGACAACACATTCCCAACCTCTCCTCGATCATTGAATTTTGTGGCAAATTAAGGACATTTTGCATAACCCAAGTAACTCTTAGTCTTATAAACAAAGAAACATAGAATAACGTGTTTTAAAAAATAGTACTAATCAGGCTCATTAAATGGTGGAAAAGGCATATAAAATAAGAGGAGTGGAGTCTGAAGTCCATTTTCTATTGGCAGGCTTTCACATATTTGGAATGTGTGAATTAGGCTTAATTTGTTTACATGACTTTAAAGAGCAGGGAAGAGATGATAAATTCTGTATGATACCCAAGGGGGCAATATAGGAAAAATAATTCATCCCTGGTCTGTTGCTGTTTCCTGGATATATGACAATTTTTTTTATTTTTCAGTGAAGAGCGACAGCTTTTCTTGATTTACCACAAACCCAAATGCCTGACTACAAACTGGGGTGATACTTGCATTAGCGCTCCCCGCCCCAAACAAGAAAGGCACAGCAAAAATGCACAAGCTTCTGAGGATTTTATGTCTTTCTCGAGCAAAATAGCAAAAGGAAGCAGGAGCTGGATCTCAAATCGTTGCTGCCCGCATTTTGTTTTAGCATGTAAAGAGTGAGGGAGAAGCTGGCAGACAAAGGATCGTGGAATCATAGAGAGTTGGAAGGGGTCTACTAGACCATCGAGTCCAACCTTGTGCAAAATCAAAGCAGACCTGACAGATGCTGGTCTCAATTTTCTCTTGAATGCCTCCAGCGTTGGAGCGCTCACCACCTCCCGAGACCATGGGTTCTGTTGTTGTCCTACTCTAACCATTAGGGCATTTTTTCCTGATATTCAACCGAAATCTGGCTTCCTGTAACTCGAGCCCATTGTTGTGTGTCCTGCACTCTGGGATGATCGAACAAGAACGCATCCTCTGTATGACTACGTTTCAAATATTTGAAGAATGATATCCAATTTCCCCTCCGTCTTCTTTTCTCAAAGCCAAACGTGCCCAGTTCTTTCAGTCTTTCCTCCGAGGGCTTGGTTTCTTAGTCCCCTGATCATCCTTATCGCCCTCCTCCGAACTTGCTCCAGTTTGTTGGTATCCTTCTTAAAAGTGCTGTGTCCAGAACTGGACACAGTACTCAAGATGAACCCTAACTAGTGCTGAATAGAGGGGGACTAATACCTCATTTGGAGACTATACTTCTGTTAATGCAGCCAAAAATAGCATTTGGGTCTATTTGGGCATTTGAGAAATGGTCCTCCAGTGATAAAAGGAAGCAGATTTTCTTGTTGTTCTTGACTCAATGAGAGTTGGAATGCTAGACACTCCTCATCCTCAGTCTTAGACAATGTAAGTGAACTCAGAGTTGGATCCATCCTGCTTGGGTATATGGGCTCCTTGATCAGTGCTTAAAAGGGGAGTCAGCCACCCATCAGGCTTTGCATAGTTGATGCTAGGTTTAATTTTAAGCTCCTTTCTGGATTTACATCCTCCAACCTTTGTCTCTTGATCTTTTATTCAGTTTTGCAGCTGCATCTCCGAAATGGAAGAAAAACGCTCCTAATAATTGTGTTAAGTGCCGCTCCTGCTATAGATCAAGCTGATAATTGCCGATAGACTGTTAGAGATCATTTGTGCCTCTTTCCATGTGCCCATCATTCTTGCAAAGACAGACAGAATAACCACCTGCTTGGTTAAGGGCTGCAGCCTCTGGGGCTGGTTTGGTTGTTGCTTTCTCACAAATGCCAATAGCTGAACTCCCAAGGGCCAAGGGCATAGAGCTTCTCAGCAAAGCTGGAAAAGGCCAAGCAAGTCTTGAATATAGATAAGAATAAGCAGCATCATTAAGAGCATTTAAAGGATGGGACCAAAGAGCCATGATTGAGATGATTTAAATACTGAGCATTCCAGGTTATAAATGGAATTAGGTCTGTGTTGACTCAGATAAGTGGCCCACTTAGTCTAGGAGTGAACAATGTAAAGCTTGTGAGCAGCTTCATAGTAAATGCAGGGAGCTTACAAAATATGGAGGAATTGTAGTTCAGAATGAAAGTGAAGATCAGAATGAATGTGGTATCAAAAGGTAAAGGTAAAGGTTCCCCTTGACAATTTTTGTCCAGTCGTGTTCGACTCTAGGGGCCGGTGCTCATCCCCGTTTCCAAGCCATAGAGCCAGCATTTGTCCGAAGATAATCTTCCATGGTCACATGGCCAGTGCGACTTAGACACAGAACGCTGTTACCTTCCCACCGAGGTGGTCCCTATTTATCTACTTGCATTTGCATGCTTTCGAACCGCTAGGTTGGCGGGAAAGGTACAATAAGGTAAAACTTATAAGATCTTGGTGGAAGGTGAAGAACAAGAAGACCCAGTTAAAGTACTATGGGAATCAGATATGAGAAAAAGAAGTAAGCTTCAGTATGTGGTAGAAAATGGTATTTGACTTAGTAAGATAGATGGTAAATATTCTAAGATGTGTTGAAAAGGTGGCCAAAAAAGGTACTTATTTTCACATGTGGTGGGAATGTGAGTATGTGATGAAGTTTTGGCAATTGGTGTTTAAGGAGATAAATGAAATAAGTAATTTAAATTTAATGGCATGTCCTAAAATAGCACTTTTGTCCATATCTGAAGACAAGATAAGTAATTGGGCAATTAGAGAATCTCTGTCTAATTTGTTAATAGCAGCGAGATTACTTATTGCCAAGAACTGGAAAATAGTACATAATATTGTGTTAAGAGCGCAGTAGAAGGAACTTCGGGATATAGCAATTAATGATAAACTTACATGCAATTTAAAAATGAAAAGGGGAGAGATTAGGCAAAATGTTTCTTAACTTTGTGCTGGTGGAAGGGAAGAGTCAAAGAATAACACAGGAATCTATACAGTTTTGGAAGGGATGTGGGGCGCCATGAAAGCAAAAGGTAGAAATGGATTCTCCAATGATTCCAGAGTGGATGGGGTACACCTCTCTATATCCCCACCCACGTATATAGTTTTGCTCACCATGTCCAGTTGTCCCAAATCAAAATAAAGTAGATATCCGGATGCTTCTATTTTTAACTTTTGTTTACATTTTCTGGCACTGTTGGATACAGTGCAGCCCACAACAATTCCTGGGGATGAGAGTTCGACCCACAGACTTAACCAAATTCATTTGAAACTTCTCCTTCCATAGAGATCAATAGATGCATGTGGAACGTTCTCAAATATGGTGAGCTCTCACCTATTGCTTCTCCCCCAGCAATGGGTATTCAGAGATATACTGCCTGTGAACATAGGTAGGGGATGGTAGGCCATGAATTCTTCAATGAATTGTTTTCATCTCATCTTGAAGTCTGGTAAGCTTGTGATCAGCACCATATCATGTGACAGCGAACTCAACAGATGCAAAGTTGTGTTGTGTGAAGGACTTTCTCTTGTCTCTCCCCATGCTACGGCCGTTCCCTTCCGCTGGGTGTCCCTGAGTTCTACTGTATGGGAAAAACACTTCCATCCATCTCTTCTTTTGGTTCTGCTGTGGGAGGCTGTCCCACTAGCAGTAAACGGGGTGCTGGCTCATCTCAGGCTCCTTCAAGCCAGCTCACGCTGGCCTGCTTCCCTTCCCACAGCAGGATATCAGGCCTTTTCCTGCCAGACTCTCAGCCTCATCACATTGTGTGTCTGTTTGAGAGAGCGGGAGAGAGAGAGAAAGAAGAGCCTGCCTTCATGGGGGGGATCACACAAGAAAATGTGCCAGAGATGGGTTGTTAGACAGCTTTTTTTCCTTTCTTTCTCTTGCAGAGTTATGTCATGCCCAGACCACCACAGGGCTCCATGAAGATTTATAGAAGATGCCCCGGATCTTGGCGCCTCTGGTGCTCCTTTTGGTGTGGCTAATGAAGATCACTGCCAGCCCCCATTCTCTGAGGATTGGTGAGTAACAAAATAACCATTGTTGACATGCTGAGCATGATGGAACTGGAGGACTCTGTGCGTCCTTCTCACAGTACCCCCAACAAGACTCCTTTGGCAGTCACTCAGCCACGTGCCTCTCGCTAATCCTGAGATGAGAGAGCCCTCAGGGTGAACAGGTATGGGGAGATGCTACAAGTCTTGATGGAAAATGTTTCACTCCCCCCAACACACTTGTTGACCTGCAAAACTATGTGTGTTACAAGGGGTGGAGGTGGGGTTAATGCGCAACAGGCAGCATGCTGCCACTACGCCCATACGAAATATGAAATGCTGCAGATTGGGTGAGGCATGGACTTTAGTACCACAGTTCCCTCCCAGGCACCATCCAGACAATGGCCTGAAAGGATTTTTTTGTATTTTATTAAAGGGAGAAGAAAAGGGGGATTAAAGAACAATTTTAAAGAATAAAAGTTTTGCATGGTCACAAGAACAAATTATTCAAAAATTAGGAGCAAATGTGATTACAGGATTACAGCATTCAAAAGCTGAAACACACCAAAATAATAAACTCTGATTTACCCTATCTAGCTTATGCTTAAGCAGAGAGATGGAGTAAATCTGGAGGGCATCTCAAGCACTCCATGGCACAGCTTGAGACATGACATGCAGAGGTCTCCTTGCGAGTCATGCTGGGGCCAGGAAACAAAACGTCGTTTCTCTACAGAGATATGCTAGGCTCAAACTCGGTTTTTCATTTCTCGTTTTTATACAAATGAGAAGGCCATTTTGCACCTGTGGCTCACAATCATTTAATGACTCTTAGTCCACTTTGATCAGTCTACCAACAAAAGGCAGGTCTCCAGCCCCCATGTCACCTTTCCTCTAAGTGGCTCTACCAGTTTTTGAAGACCAAAGCGTGCATGTTACGTCCTAGCTGTAGAGCAATACATGGACACCAGAAATGAGGAGCTCTAATAACCAGTTAGATAACCAAGCTACGTATACTGCTCTAATGTGGGATGCCCCCCCCCTAAGAAGGTAGAATGTGATCTAGAAAATGTACCCAGATAGAAGAACTTGTGCATAAATAGGATCAGAGATAAGTCAGAGATCAACTTTGGATTTTTGTTTTGTTTATGAATGGAAAAAGAAATGAAAGAACAACCCGCTTTTGCCCATTCTTCGTTGCAGGAATCAATTACTGTGCATCTGAATGAACATTCAATTCGTTATTTCATTAGATTTTAACAGCTTTGCATTGGGAGGTGCTGCTTTCCATAGCAGAAGCAGTCTAGGGCGCCTTGTGCACAGTGTACAGAAAGGTCACCGTGATGAGTGGGTGAGCACTGAAATTAACAGTGCAAAAAGCTCCTGTTTAGATAAGAGGGCGTGCCTGTATAGATGGCTCTAAAATTGCTTGCAAAATGGGAAACCTTTCTCCTGTCTGTCTCAAGTTTGGAAGGTCTGATACCCAGGCTGGAGATATGTGGGGAGAGGGAGCTGAGTTCGTAGAATGCCAGTGGTTGTCATACAGTTTGGGGGGTGGGGTTGGAATACAAATGTGAAAGGCTACGGAAGAATGGCCATTTCTTCTGTTAGAATAAAGTTGGGGGAGAGAACGAACCATTGAATTCATTCAGTTCTAATGAATAGAACATTAACGAATTTTTTTTTCGGAGATGAATGTGGATGTGAAAATGAATTGAAAAGATTGACTGATGAGAACTAAGGGGTGGGATGGGGGAGAGCGAAAACCAAATTATATGTTACAGCCGCAACATCATTAAACGATGAGATCTATCAGTATTCCATAGATACGATTCAGGCAGGCCTTCATGATTGATTGAGCAATCATACTTGCAAGTGAAGCCTGTCTTTACCTCCCAAAGAGCATTTGCAAAACAGAGCAAGCTAATCTGCAAAATAAAGGAGTCGTGAAAGCCCCCCCTGCTTTTAAAATCAGATGCATTAAAGCAGTTGAGGAATTCTCTCTTATAATGAAACACCATCTGTAATGTACAGTATAGTTGGCTCTGAGACATCAGATGGAGGTTGAGGCTAAGGTGGCAGAAATGAAGGACTCATGCTCTACACACACACACACACACACACACACACACACACCAATATACTTGGCAAATAGAAAAAAAACATGCCCCGTAATGATTTGTTGGCTCAGACTGGCCTGACAACCTATCTGTTGTCATTTCGATCTGGCGTTAACTCCTGTTTACAAAATTTGTGTTGTATGAAAGAAAGGATATTTATGTGTTCCTTTTTCTCAAGGACCCTGGCATGAATTATTCTACAAAGGCCAATGTGACAAACCTAAGACCATTTATTTTTATTTGTTTATTTAAAATATTTTTACCCTGCCTTTCTCCTTCAAAAGGAAACTAAGGAGGCTTACAGGATTAAAAGACAATATTTAAAAGTGATAACTTTATTAGGCCAACTGCAAAGAGAAAGGTGTATGTGTGTGGGGGGGGAGACACAAAAATATATATACAAAAGTTTTTGGGATCTATGGACCCCCTTCCCCAGGTGAGATGTTTCTCTCGAGGAACACGCTGGTGGAGTTGGGATGCAACAGTGCATAACCCTATATTGACTGAGAACAAAGGGACAAGGGGGGGGGAAATCATCTTCCAAGGTTATAAACATAAAATCAGTACATGTGGCTCTCTCTGAGAATCTCTTCCACAGAATGATCAGCATCTTCCACCAGTGGGCAACTCCCACTGTCCTTGGTAAGAGGCTGCTGCCCTTCCAACAGGTTCAGACCTCAGCTGGCTAAACAACACTTTCCGGGGGGGTGACCTGTTTTAGGGAGCTACAGCTCAGACACCCCAAATCCAATCTTTCCCAAACATGGAGAGGATGGGGGAGGAGAGTTAGCCCAACAGTCAGTCCAAGTTTGGCGAAGGTTGGGTTTGATACATCTGGGATATATGCTGATAATATTTTGGCGTTTCATTGAATTCTGGACAGGTACATTTCCCCAAAGTGCCCCCAAATGAAGGGCACAAAATGTCCTGATTTGTGTTGTGTGTGTGTGTGTGTGTGTATGCGCCATTGTAACTGTGTTGAGCTTTCACTGCATGCTCCGAACATGTTTCCAGAACATAAACTAGAAGCAAAAATGTGCCTTTGGTTCATTTTCCTCATCACGATGCCACCTAACAGGAGTCTTTTGTATCTGAAAGTTCAGTCACAGTCTCTTGGGGACACCTAGTGAGGTGCAATGGCTTTGGGTAACTTTGAGTGGGAGGCTTCCCTGACATTACCTGGGAAAAGCTGCTTTCTGGTGGCCTTGCTTTTTGTTGCTGGGAGCAACCTCCCCCCCTACCCTTTCTCTTCTTGTTTCTTTTAAATTGTCTTTAATGCCATTTAGAGATGCTGCCAAACTGTTCATAATCTCTGCGGTGCCTCATTTATGAGGGGATGCAGATTTGTGTAGCTGGGGTGGCTTTTTATTCAAAGGAGTCAGGGAGCTATGCTGTCGGCATTTATTCTCTGCTTGTGCAGATGCGAGGCTGGGAATACAGTTAGAAATGCCTGCCGTGAAATCCATCTCATCACATCGACACTTTGCATTATTGTTAGGAAAAGAAGCAACTTCCTGCTGACTCCTCTTGGAAGCTATTAACTCTTTGCCCCAACAAGAGGCTAATTTTTCCTCCCCCTTTCTGTAGAACACCCAAAGGTGATGCTTTTTGGGTAGGATGGAACACTGATTTCTGGACATTATTTCACCTTCACCAGTAATACAGATGAGTAGAATTACAAACCCCTCAAGAGAAGAAAATTCAGGGGTTTGTTTCTCCAAAGGAGAGGGAGGAAAGTCATATCAAGTGCATGAGAGTAAAGAAAGACAGGTAACTCCTCCAAATAATTCTGGAAAATGTCAGGAACTTTTGAGAAAATAAAGATTTTCCCCAATTTGTTCCAGTGTACATTCACTTCATGGATTGCTGCCTTGTCGTAGAGAAGGGGCTTGAGTAATTCAGAGAAGCTATGGGCTATGCCATGCAGGGACACCCAAGACAGACAGATCATAGTGGAGAGTCCTGACTAAACATGATCCACCAGGAGCAGGAACTGGCAAGCCACTCCAGTATCTTTGCCAAGAAAAC